ATTTTATTTTTGAAATCGCAAATGATAGCATTTTTATTTGTTAATGAAGTTGTAAGTATTATAATTTTAGAAATGATTATGGAAAATTTTGTTCCCATAGCTCTTTCAATACTAAAATCTTAAAACCATTATTTGTAATTAATAAGTTTGTCATATATATTCCTGTTCTCTGTACTAAAAAGCGCCAATTCTGATATCGTCTAACATCAACACTGATCCTTGTCCTTGAAAAACAGAAACATATAATTGGAATTATGGGTGCGGAAACAGTAGCATTTCTTATGAAGTGTATTATGATAATTCTGTAATGAAAAGAATATTTGTAATTATGGCTGAGTTGCTGTTACATTATACACCTTAACTGATTTCAAAGATTTTCAGCTGTTAAACCATATTCATTAAGTCCTGCTTGATTTCAGAATGATGGCTATGAATCTGACATGGCACTGGCAATGAATCGTTACATTGGTAATTCCATCTTGCCACTCCTCATCAAACACTCCTCGTTCTACAATGAAGCTGATGATTATGCCAATTTGCTGGATGCCACTCTGCATACAGTGTACAGACTGTCCAAAAACAGAATGCTTACCAAGGGCCAGAGAGAAGCCGTGTCAGACTTCCTTGTGGCTCTTACCAGGTAAGTATCATAATTAAGTACGCTTATGACAGTCAGATTTAATTAAAATTGGGTGAAGTGGAAATTTACAAGAATGATGCACGGCATGTTTCTGTTGCCTCGCTTTGTTGGTTGAGCCTTTCTTATGCAACCTACTTGTAACACAGCAAGAGCATACAGAGAAAGACGCTGTCAATGCTGGAGAGAATTTAATTTTGTATAAGGGCAACCTGTTCACAGGCAAATATGTTTTAGAGGTGTTCTAGTAGTTAGCACTGGCATAGTATTTAAATAGTCCTGGGTTCATTCCCAACCACTGTCACTAAGAATTAAAAAAGTTATTGAAGATCTGTCTGCATAATCAGCTGAAGGTGGGAGTAGAGCCCAACTACTGAAAAAATCACGTGTATTGAGTGTACCTCAGGCATGACCAATGTCTAACACAGTATTCCTTTAGTATTTTAGCGGTATTAAACGTTCATTTCAAAGATATTTGGTGTACCATTTCCAAAGTTTTAGGAAGATTTTAATTTTAATGTTATTGTACAAAATATGAAATGAACAAACTTGTGATTTTGGATTTTGCTTAGTGGCTGATACAGTGTTGATGTTGATAGCAAGGCAAATAACTCGTGCAGTCATACATATGAATGAACAGATTTTTTGAAATGGGAAGCACAATGTTACAAAGATGGTGCGGCGATGACAATTTGTCTTGATGCTGGCCAACAGCAAATACATTCTCAGTGTCACTGATAAAGAGGATTCTAGCTGCAAGTATGCTCTTGGGTTACCAGGTTCAAAGGTCGATAGGTATGGAACCTGAATTTTATACTGCTGTAGAAATGTCAGTCGTGGATTAACATTTGTTGCTGGAAGTATGCTGAAATTTTTAAACACTGTTTTCTTTATCAGACAGTGAACACTCCATTTCGTGTTTAAAACACCTATTTCTTATGATATAATTTCTGTTACAGCCAAATGCAACCAAGCATGTTACTAAAGTTACTGAGGAAGCTTACCATTGACGTTTCCAAGCTGTCAGAGTACACCACTGTAGCCCTCAGAGTATGTATACATAGTGTGAAATGTTTTTTCTTCATCATCATATTTTGGGGAAGAACTTGTTAGTTATATGCAGATTCTTGACCATTTATATTACTACTACATAAAAATTCCAGAGTGTAAATTCACGAAAAATTTATTTTTGAAGAGAAATATTTTTTTATGTAAACTGAAGTAAAGTCAAGTATAATGAAATAAAATAAAATAGAATATACATTATTTTAATACAACCACCAAAACTAATCTTTGTTGTCTTTCGTTGTTATAATAAAATAATTTATAATGAATATACAGTGGAAATGGATTTGGATATCAAAGTAATAAGTAATTTCTGCAACATATTTAAACAATTTTCTTCAAAATTTTATAAATTATATTTATCACAGTATTAAACAAAATTTAGACTCTTAGTTATTTCTTATCATTTTCAACTAACTTGTGTTTTCCAGTTGCTGATGCTGCATTATGACCGATGTGCCAAGTATTACGGTTCTACTTCAGGGCAAGGGATGTACGGCGCATCCAGTGATGAAGAGAAGAGGTTGACCATGATGCTGTTCAGCAACATCTTTGATTCTCTGTCCAAAATGGTAATTTATAGTTTCAAAATTTATCATCTGTCCATCATACTGTTCAGTGGATTCCAGTAGGATGTGTGTGTCACCCTACAGAGGCCTTTACTTGGAGCCACTTTATAAAAGTTATTTTATTCACAGTCTTGTGCGTTATTCCTTCATGTTTTATGGCTGTTTTTTGTTTTGTAGTTATCAACCCTATACACTGAGAAGTTGTATCAGGCATTCAAAATCTTGTCAGTGGTATGTGAATGTAAGCCACAAAGAATATTAAAAGATGCCAGAACAAATAATAATCCACTCATGTGTTTGTAGTTTACCATTGGTTGGTGAGTTTGAGGTGGGTTAAACCAGAACATTATAATTCTTTAATGTAGAGTCTGACCTATATTATGCATTTGTAGTTTGCTGCATGTAAAGTTTACATGAGGAGATGAGGCAGTGGGTGAATTTGAGGGGTGGGAGTGAGAATGCTATTGGAAATTTTGAATACAGGAACTGACCTATGTGATATGTTTGTAGTTTACCATATCTAGTGTCTGTAATCCGCTTGGTGGTGAGGAAATGAGGTGGTCTGTATATTTTGAGGGTAGTAGACCCATAATCTGATATATGTGTTCCAGTTATGCTAGTGAGAAGTAGCGTAAAACTGCATTTCTCTCAACAAAACACAGTTTTCTTCTTCCCATATTTGAGCAAATTTTGAGGAATAGAATAGCTACTGGTTGGGAGCTAATTCAGAAGGTCAACTGTGATGAGTTGAGCTCATCTGACATTAAAAGGGAGCTTGTAGTCTAGACTGCATCCACTAGTATTTATTAGTATTTGTTTGACAGTATTTACATGCTGTGAAGATGTTACTCAGCTGTATCAATAGAAAATAGACAAAGTGTTTGTTTATCTTAGGATTATGATCCAGAGCTGTTTGGAAAAGCGCTTCCATGCTTGACTGCCATTGGTTGTGCCTTACCACCAGACTATTCTCTTTCCAAAAATTATGATGATGAATGGTACAGCTCAAAGACAGGAACAGATCCTGATGGTCCGTACAACCCACAGCCCGTAAATACCAGCAGGTATCTATTGTTTTTGCAAGTTTCTGTTCCACAGTAACAACCGCAAAAGTTACATGTTTGGACACCATTGTAAATTATTAGACATAATTTTTTAACCTTAATTTTATACATTTCTACGACCCATTACATTCTTTCAACACATGCAAGGGCAATGTGACAAATAGTTCTGTATCTTGGGGATTTCGGAAGACGAGCTACCGAATGCCATAAATAAGTGAAAATCTTATAAAACATTACTATAGAGAGAGTAAATAAAAAAGAATGTGATTGGTAAGGCTTGTAGCTTGCATTATGTCAATACCATATGCTTACAACATTTTTGTTGAAAATCTAAAATTCATAGACCACTTAGGAGACCTAGGGAAAGGTAGGAAGATTTTTTGAAAATAAATCTTCAAGAAACAGGGTTTCAGGACATGGACTGGATCCATCTGGCTCAGGAGAGGGTTCAGTGGCAGACTGTTGACTGGTATGAACATGGTAATGAACCTTAAGGCTCCATAGAAGGTGTGGAAGTGGAACGAAGTAAGTTATGTTTCCAACATCTTTGTTTCCTCAAGTGGTCAATGTATAAAACCACGTAATACGTGTGCCGCAAGATCTCCTCTCTCTCCACAACACATCTTGAGTGACATTCTGCCAGCTGGCAGAGCAATGCGCTTGCTTAGGTCTAGGCTTTTGTACCCTCCTCTGCTTTCTCAAAAATTGTAGTAAGTCCATTTGCAGAGTAGGGAGAAGTAAGTAGACCAGTAAGTAGTAACACCGTTTAATACTGAGAAACATTTCTAGTTGATGAAAAGTTATCTTGCAGTGGCATGAGCAAAGTAATATTGTTAAGTTAGTGCCAGATAAGATCATGAACATTTAGTGTAATGTCTTGAATCAGTGGTTCTTAGCCAGTACAGGCAGTGGATATCTGACTAGTGGAGCGACAGCCATACAAGCTGCAGTGTAACTAGTAGTGGCACAGTGCCATGTTTCACCCGTGAATAGTCATGTGTGATGCAGAGGTAGACTGGATGACAGGAAGGGAAAATGAACAGAAGGACAAATATTTCCAGTGGTTCTGTTTTAGTATTTTCTGGTGCAGAAAACAAGAATAATTGATTGTGATTGCATGTATTAGTGTAATAAGTGGTTTCATCACATTGTGTTCATGATCAGATGGCTTGGGCAGGAACCACAGATTTAGATACTGTATTAGTTAATATGACTTTTCTTATAATCAGTGTGATTCGTCCACAAAGTAAGTTTCCCTGGGGCCGTTTGCAGAAACAAAACACAATTTCATGGAAATATTTATTGCAACAGATACAGCAAGTGTCCAGCTATTTTTCAACATATTCGCCACCGGAATTGAGACATTTGTCATACCGTGGGACCAACTTTTGAATACCTGGG